ATCCTCACCCCCAAACACACCTCCCATCCTCACCTCCACACACTTCCCATCCTCACCCTCATACACCTCCCATTTATGACTCATGCAGTATTGTGGAAAGACACCAAATAGGTCAACCTGAATGTTTTTATGTCGGTTTACAGGACGAGACAGCATAGTATGCAGAGTGCAGTGATGCCTTTTCTTCGGTGTTTCTCTTATATCCCTCAGTAACGGCTTCATAAGCACGGGACACAGCCGCTCTGTCCTGATCCCCCCACCTATGACCTGCACCTTCCCACCGTCATGACACTTTAGCAGACCTCCAAAGCTGACCCCAGTGAAGGAGGCCGCCGCCCTGTTTTAATTAAAGCAGACAGTTAGTGCTTTCTGTGTTTCCGAGACGGCCTCTTAATGCACAGCCTGTCATAATGGAGCATCTCCTGTATGACTAATAGGTGCACAGTCTACAGGAAGCACTGCCCCTGTAGACTGGGGGGGGGGGGGGCAGTATATATCACAATGTGTGATAAAAACCTGTAACTTTTTGCTTTGTGAGGACAGATAATATCAATGTTATAAACATCTGTGAATGTAATGAAATACTAAAAGTACCTTGTATTTTGTAGTCCAGTATGTTCTTGGTTACTTGTGGTTAAGGTTATCAGACGCACCTCGACTTCTGAGCCACACCTAAAAACACTTTGCAGACTGTAATGGCGCCAAGTCTGGATCATAAAAATGTGAGGCAGAGCATCTGGTGCGCAGGAGGCTTAATAAACTCAAATAAAGACTAAGGAAGTTTAAGTTTTGTGACTTGAACAGAAACATATCATTTTAACAGTAGATTATGTTCAGTGATAACTGCAGTTGTGGCACCACTGTATGTCACTTCAACCCAGATTTAATCACTTTGCCTCCTCGTTTCATTTCAAATATCAGTGAGTAATAATTACAGGAAATGTAATTTGGATACTGGTGCACCCACTACCTGTGTAGCACATCAACCAATCAGGTTTTCTGATAAACAAAGTCCATCCAGCCAATAGGGCCACGGCAATAAGCACAAGTCATACTCTGAAATAGAGCATTTACTCAGAATATTGCGTATACCGGATGTTGCTCACTAATAGTTATTTTAAAAAATCAATGGATGTTTGGGGTCTCAGTAATGTGTAGAAGAACAAACCAACAAGTCAGTATACCCTGAGAAACTGATGTCCATGAAAATATACAACCATATATATCACAATGCATTTATCGATTACAAATGTCAACACTGTCACTGTCTGTAAAACATGCTTCTTTAATTCATGCAGTTGTCCACTGGAGCTATCAGCAATACATTTATTTTCTTAAAAGACTAACAATTAAAAGAAGCGCAGAAATGAGATATACAGCACTCGTAAATCACGTTTTAATACACCCAACTCCGTCCAGGGTCGCAACCATACAACGTTTGCAAAGCTTTCAAATCCTTAAAGTACCCAGTTTAACTGTGGCATATAATTAAACACCGTCACGCCTAATATGAAGAGTTAAGTGTTAAAATAGGAGTGTTGTGTTAAACTAGGGCCTGACAGGGGTCCCATACAGTGTCCCTCCATCAGTTGCTGCAGTGGATCTAGGACGTTCCCTTTAAATTGCCTACGCGGTTAGGAGTGGTACAGTGCAGATGGGAGATCGCTGCCTGGGCTTCGTGCTGCCTCTTTGCATGCAGAGCAAAAGCCCAGCTGCAGACCCCGACTTCTTTTACTACAGGTCTCATCCCAGTTTATGGAAAAAAGGAGAAAAAGTCAGAGTCTCGACTCAAATTCCACACACATGCGGCACTGTTGATTTATATAACGAAGGAAAATCAAGTAAGGGCATGGGCAACCTGCATCCGACAATCGATTTAGATTAAACTGAAAGTGAGGATTTGCATCCCGTGTACCGTTTAACATGTTTTTTTAATGCATGGTTTTCCGTAATGCCTGCATCCTTAAGCTTCACGTAGTACGTTGCATGGAGACTGTGCACCGGAGTACCACCCAGTATCGGAGCAGAGAACTATGCCTTAAGCATGCCGCTGTTGACACATTTAGGTAGTTCCCATTTTAGAAAAAGAAAAATCTTCACGGAAAAGAGACGCGGAAACCTAGTGCTTTGCTTGCAGTGCGTGGATGTGGGAGCGGGAGTTTGTCATACTGCCTTAAAATGCGTTTCAATCGCAGACCGCAGGTACCGGGAATTTATATCAACTAATATATCTCGCTGAAACAAGGATTTGTCCGTTTCTTATATTTTGTAAATAATTAAAAATAATGGGTCTGCAGATTAATAATAGTGATAAATATAATAGTAATGGCCATGATCATTGACGCTTTCGCTGCCACCCACGAAATTCGTGCTGGGGGGGGGGGGGGGAGTCTACTTATTTGTAGCCGTAATGTAGGAAAGCAGAAATGTTTTTTTTCTCTCTCTCTCCTTAGTTTTCGTTGTATATTATATACAGCAACACCGTAAAAGAACCGCCCCCCTGCAATCACCCTTGCTTATGTCTCTGCAGATGCCAGGGTTCATCCAGGACCACATCTGCCGCTGTCGCATCTAAGGACACCGGGGGCGTCAGTTTTTGCTGATCTCTGCATCTCTGCGTTGTTTTAGGGTGGCGATCTGAGAGGGGGAAAGGGCGAATCGCAAAGGGTGCACGCTTTTCGAAACCTAGTGCAACTTGTTGTGGGGACGAGGACTCGCCGCATCCCCCCCCCCCTTCCCTATCAGCAGCATAACGCGGCGGCTGCGGCCAGTTGATGGTGTTACTGCATAGCGGCACCTGCAATGTATGGCTGGGAGCGGAGGCACTTGTGCTCCATGCGTGCATAACGCCGAGATACAAGGCACGGCGGCTTTACCATCTGCACCGATGTTTTTCTGAGAAGGCGGCATCCCCAGGGACTCTGCGAGCATTACCGGGTTTAGGTGAAGGTGAAGGTAAGATGCATCTCTTTCGCATACCTGCCTTATTCATGTGATTAAAAACCGTAGCCCAGTTTAAGTAAGAAAATATTCGATCGTTAATATTAATTCTGTAAATTACCATGCGTCGAACGCGAAGTACTGTAAATACTGGAATTCATCTGCAAATCATTACCGTGCCTAGATTTATTCAATCAGTGATTAGTAATTGCATTGATATGCACGTTATAGCCTCGGTCTGTGATAATAAGTGTTTATTTGTATGAGACGAATATCGTCTAGAAAAAGTTTTGAAGTTTAAAGAAGCCAACGCTACGCTAATCGGCCACTTTATTAGGAACACCTGTACCTTTACCTGCTCCGTCATGCAAATATCTATGCAGCCAATCATGTGGCAGAAGCTCAGTGCATAATATCATGCAGACATGGGCCAAGAGCTTCGGTTAATGGTTAGATCAAACATCAGAAAGGGGAAAAATGTGATGTAAGTGACTTTGACTGTGGCGTGTGACAGAAAGGATGGTGTGCTTATTTCAGAAACTGCCGATCTGGGATTTCCAGGCAAAAGTGTCTCTAGAGTTCATGCTGAATGGTGTAAGAAATAAAACGGCATCCAGTGAGTGGCAGTTTTGTCAGTAGGAACACATTATCGATGAGAGGGGTCAGAGGAGAATGGCTAGACGAGGCACAGCTGACAGGAAGGCTACAGTAACTCATATAAACACTCCGTACAGCAGTAAAGACTAAACAGCTTCTCTGAAAGCAAAATATGACAAACCTGAGGTGGATTAGCTACAACGGCAGAGGACCAGGTCAGGATGCACCTCTTTCACCTTGGAACAGAAAACAGACGTACAGGCAGATGGACAGTTGAAGATCGGAAAGATGTCAGATGGTCTGATGATTCTTAATTTCGGCTTCGGACCCTTTCGGACTTCAGATATAAACAGTATGAATCTATGGACCCAACCTGCCTTGTATCCACACTTCAGGCTGCTGTTGCTGATGGCAGTTTACTGATGACGTGACGAATGTCTTCTTGGTGCATTTTGGACCCTTTACTTCTAATCCCACATTGCCGATATGCCACAATATATCTGAATATCGTTACTGACCATGTGCGTGTTCATTTTCGACCGCAATTCACCCGTTTTCTAATGGCTACGTTCAGCAGGATAATGTGTCATGTCACAAAGCAACAGTCATTTGAAACTGGTCCCCTAGACATGAGAATTAATTCATTGGCTTCCACAGTCACCAGACCTGAATCCAATAGATCACCTTTGGGGTGTGGTGGAATGGGAGATTGACAGCATGACTGCGCAGCTGACAAATCTGCAGCATTTACAACATGTAATCGTGTCAGCATGCAGCAGAAGCTTTTTGTGTCAACCTTGTTGAATCCATACCACAAAGAATTCCGGCTGCTCTGAGCAAATGCAGTCCTACCCAATATTAAAGTGGTGTTCCTAATAAAGTGGCCAGTGGGTATATATATTCATATGTGTATCCTGTAATATAGGAACCATCCAGACATTAACAGATGGTCATTACAACTCCAAAGCTAAATCAAGTAATTAACTGTGGTTGTTACCATTCCCGGGTGGTTCTGAAGTTACCAATTTACTTTGGCGTAATGGCTATGCAGTAATCAGTCCAGCAGAACATCTAAAATACTGAATGCACACTGGCCTCTAGGCTATATGTTCATCGACTAAGTTAAATGTATGTGTATTTCTCATAGTTGTTTCTTTTGTGCAGTATTTTAAAAGTTATTGAACTTAAAAGGCCTTTAATGTGTTATCTGTTGTTCTGAGATTCTTCTTTTAATGCCATTGTCCTTTTTTGGGCCTTTGATTGCAATTCCCTTCAGGAAAGAGGCAGCTTTGTGTTTGAGTTAAACCTGCATTGCAGACGGCCCCCCACATAGTAACAAGGACACTGGGCATGACGAGCAACATTTTTCACTTCAGTGATCACTTCTCTGAGTGTGTCTTTTATATGTGATAAGGAATAACGAAATTCAGCATTTAATGTATCTTTCATTCTGTCTTTTTTTTTTCCCCCGTCAGCTTGACCCAGGCGTCTTTTCTGTGTCGAGGTGGTTTTTTTTAATCCGCTGAGGTCCCAGTGCTAGGCTCCGGCCTCACACCCCCCTCCGAGATGACGGTGGCTACTGGGGACTCTGCAGATGAGGCAGCAGCCCATCCCGGTCAACCCCAGGACACCTACGACCCTGAGGCTGATCACGAGTGCTGTGAGAGGGTGGTCATCAATGTGTCAGGCCTGCGCTTCGAGACACAGCTGAAAACTCTGTCCCAGTTCCCCGAAACCCTGCTGGGGGACCCTAAGAAGAGGATGCGCTACTTCGACCCCCTGAGGAATGAGTACTTCTTTGACAGGAACCGACCCAGCTTCGATGCCATCCTGTACTACTACCAGTCAGGGGGCAGGCTGCGACGGCCCGTTAACGTTACGCTGGACATCTTCTCGGAGGAGATCCGCTTCTACGAGTTGGGCGATGAAGCCATTGAGATTTTTCGTGAAGATGAGGGATTTATCAAGGAAGAGGAGAAGCCGCTACCTGACAACGAGTTTCAGAGACAGGTGTGGTTACTGTTCGAGTATCCCGAGAGCTCAGGCCCAGCCAGGATTATCGCTATCATATCCGTGATGGTCATCCTTATCTCTATTGTCAGCTTCTGTCTGGAGACCCTGCCCATTTTCCGCAGTGAGGAGGAGGAGATGCACAAGGTCTACCAGCCCTTCTCCAACACCACCTCCAGCTATCACACAACCTACTTCACTGACCCATTCTTCATTTTAGAGACGCTTTGTATCATCTGGTTCTCATTTGAGTTCCTGGTACGCTTCTTTGCCTGCCCCAGCAAAGCGGGCTTCTTCGTCAACATTATGAACATCATTGACATTGTAGCCATCATTCCCTATTTCATTACACTCGGAACTGAGCTGGCTGAGAAACCAGAGGATGGCCAGCAAGGGCAGCAGGCGATGTCCTTAGCTATTCTCAGAGTCATCAGGTTGGTCAGAGTTTTCCGGATCTTCAAGCTGTCCCGACACTCTAAAGGGCTGCAGATCTTAGGCCAGACCCTGAAAGCCAGCATGCGTGAGCTAGGCCTGCTTATCTTCTTCCTCTTCATCGGAGTCATCCTCTTCTCCAGTGCTGTCTACTTCGCCGAAGCCGATGAAGCAGACTCCCAGTTCATCAGCATCCCCGATGCTTTTTGGTGGGCAGTCGTCTCTATGACTACAGTTGGCTATGGTGATATGGTTCCCACCACCATCGGAGGCAAGATTGTGGGGTCCCTCTGTGCCATCGCCGGAGTGCTGACCATTGCACTGCCTGTGCCAGTCATCGTCTCCAACTTCAATTACTTCTACCATCGCGAGACAGAAGGTGAAGAGCAGGCACAGTACCTGCAGGTCAGCAGTGTCCCGAAGATGGATTCCACCGAGGACCTGAAGAAGAGTCGAAGCGGCTCCATGATGAGCAAGTCCGACTATATGGAGATCCAGGAAGCGGTGAACAACAGCAGTGAGGACTTCCGGGAGGAGAACCTCAAGACGGCTAATTGCACTCTCGCCAACACCAACTATGTCAACATCACAAAGATGCTAACAGATGTATAACCACTCTGTTCAGTCATGTTGACGGCAGGGGACTGGGATCTGAGGAAAATGGCGGGACCTTCCTGCTTTGTGTGGCTCAGGCCCCAGGTGGATTTCAGAAGCCGGGAGCAGAAGATCAGTAGAGCGGACCCTACTGTACACCCCTCAAAAACCCTCGCTCTTCCTTATTCCTCATTCTGTCCAAACTGCCAGAATATTCTGCATACTTCTTATGGTGTCTGCATGGAGTTAGTCTTTTCTATGTGACTGTTAAGTAGATCATATCCTGCTTGCAATGGTAGCTAAACAAGTAGCTAATTAGAGAATTAAACTTACCACATAAGGATTCCACTCTCTGTCCTCCCTCCCCCCCAACCCCAAATTCTGACCTCTCCTGTACTCTATCCTAAGGCACATCTTCATCATCCCCTACCTTTCCCTCTGAGGCTGGTGGCATTTTTTGTTCACTTCCAAAGAGTACTTCATTTAACGTGCTTCATTTAACGACTCCCTTCACTTTTTTTGTGAAAAAGACTGAGCGGAACAACCGGAAGGAAACATTTATCCCTCTTGAGGATTTATGCACTGGGAACTTCCGCTGCAGTGACTTGCTGCCCACCGATTCCCTAGAGAATGTGTGTTGCCCACGTTATGGAACGGGCACTCAAAAGCACCCACGGGGTGCTCGTCCAACAGGGATGACTCACGGCAGCACTGGAATATAGCTGAAAACCTCGGCCCTGTTATTTGTATTTTTTCTGCAGTGTGTCTTTCCGTTGAGGAAGCCATGGATGGATGTCACGCCTCTTCTCTCACTGCAGAGAAAGGGCTTAAAAACTAGAGTGAATGTCTCTCTCATTTATTTATATCTATCTGCCGATACACTTCCTGCGGCTGGTCCTTGACTGAACCTGTACTCCTTCCTCTCATAGCTGAGGGTTCTCTAAGTATGGTGGGCTACAGTGCCCACCTCCCCACCCCACCCCACCCCACCCCTGAACAGTACGTCACTACCAAACACAAGGGAGAGATACGGCTTAAGATAAAGGATAACTTGCACAGAATAGTTTATATGTCAGGCAGATTGCTTGGCATCCTGCTAATGTTCTTTCACACCCCAAATCACTACATCCTGCACCATGAACATTGTCCTCAAGTCTTCCATACATCATTTCATACAGAACATTATATTGTTTGAGGCTGCTGTACTTATAACACACCACAGCCTAAGTAAATTTCTGACTGACTTTTAGGTCGCCAAAGATTGACTCACTGCCTTTTGACGCTTGTCTGTCTTGGATGAAATGATCCATCGACGTTTGACTCAACCTCTGGCAGGAGTGGGTCTTGTGTCACCAGTGGAGCCCTTTAAACTGACTTTAAACTCATTTCTTGAAGAAAAGCATCCTTCCAGTGCATGCAGTGACATCCATTGCAGCATGCATTTTCATATAAATACCACTCAAGCAACATATAAATATTCATATCACCATTAACTCTTTTTGTCTCTCAGGCCCTAACATTATGTGCAATATACTATTGTCTTTTTATTGTTAGATTTTTGCAACCTTTTTATGTACTTTTTATGCATTTGTAGGTCACCTTTAGGATCTTCCAATGGAGAGGTTGCTCATTTCACCATATCGGATGGGAGTCATGTGATCGAATCGGCACTGTCATGTAGGTCATATGATCATGAAGCCAAGCTGTCAGGATTTGAGGTGTGAAAACAGGTTTCCCCTTTCCCACAATGCATCACCTATGAGACCCCTGAAGCATTGCATCATATTGGCTTTGTGTCTCACTTCTCACAGCCTTTCTCATGCCTTTGGCATTATGAAAAACCAAACGTGTTGGTTCCCCAAGCTTCTGCATTTCTGAATGTATGTATCACATTCTACTGATATTGGCATTGGGTTGTATTTTCACAAATCTCGTTCCATTCCACAGAACCTTGGCTGTGCTGGGTTTCTGGTTTACTGACCATGATTTAATGTATACTGAATAATACGTCAACAGTTTCATGTGCAATACAGCCTCTTACCTACTGGTGCCCATAAGGAACAATCGTTACGTAGCACTTAGGACACGCAGAGCCAGCTTGTGGTTATTTTTAGGGTACACGATGGGCTATACTGGTGGTGGTTTTTGTTATTCTTTTTTGTTCCAGTTGAGTTTCCGTACCTCCTTTCTGCTGTCCCACCTCTTTTGTATTCATGTTACGGAAGCACAACTGGACCGAGTCAGGGTCCAACCTAAATATCCATGGACCCCAAAGACCAAGGCAAACTATGACATGGACCAATGAATGCGAAAAGGAACATACTGGCCATTCTTATCTTTAAATAAATAAGCTTTATGGGTGGGACCAGTACCCAGAACTTAGTGCTGCTGTTGACTGTTTGATACAGTTTCTGCAACTGCCCGACTTCAATTTGGATGCATATTGAAGAATTTATCCGTAAATGAAGCGAGTTTATCTTAGCCTGTATAAGTAGTTGTACTTACAGGTTCAGGACTTTGACCATTGTTTATCACATGTTGCTTTTGTTGTATGGGTGGTGCAGAAATTGAGCTTTGTACAGCTTCTGCTATGTACAGTAATACCCGTTGGTAATGCACTCTTAGGTACCCTCATATCCTAGTAATCCAGTATAAATAGCAAACACTATAGTACTAGGTTTAGGTCGGTATACTCTATGGACAAAACAACAGAAGCTCTTGCATGTGACATCACCATGGAAGTTACTGTTATCTATGTTTCCGCGGTGAAAGATGGAGACTCGGGCCTTTCCTGTTGCAGCATCTGTTTCTTCCTCAGTTGGGAGCAGAGTGGAGGAGTGTGACTCCCCACTGCTTCCGAAGCTTCCTCAGAACATTCCGGAGTGAGCAATGGGCAGAGCCTTATACGGACACGCACCACCTCCCATGCACAGTACTAGATAGAGGATGGTGCCTAGTTGTATATTTACAAGCAGGATCTTGTTTGTGTGACTGGGTGTATGTATGAGAAATAAGGATATGCATACTAAAAATGTGTGTGTGTGTGTGTGTGTTCAACAGCTGCTGTTTTATTCTGACCGTGTGGCATGTATGGTTTTCCTGATGCTACCAGGCAGTTCCTGCTTCGGGGGGCGCTGTTGACTTAGCAGTGCCGGGATCAGTTGGACCTGTCACCCAATGGGCCTGTCACCCAAACCTGCAGCTAAAGACTTTCAGAGGTTACTCAGAAAAGCTACATCCCCCATGGAGAGCAAGTACAGAGCCGGTCAGCCAGTTGGGCCATCAGAACCCAAGTTTGTGCTCACAAGTGTCATCGAGGATACCTCTGGAGACTCCCCCAGATCAAGGTGACCTGACTTCCAATAATATCTGTACAGAGCAGACTTCTTTTTTTTCTAAAATAAAGAGACAATAAAAAGAGAGGAAATGAATAAGTTTACGCCACATGTCTGAGGATGTCACTCCGGATATGACTGCTGATGAAATACTGCACTGGGATTACAGGAAGCCCTAAAAGACGATCTTGGAGAGACACTGCAGTCTAAAGTTATCTAGTCCTTCCAAGTTATAACTGTCATATGAATAATATCAATAACGATGATGATGATAATAATAACATGATGATTATAACCAAAACACATTGTGCCCTGTTTCTTTTACGGATTCTGGAATTTGTCCGGCTGTGAGTCATAATGGCGGTATAAAGACTAGCCGATTACGGGGTGTACTGAATATTCTGGAGCCTCTGCCCTGACCCATTTAAACTTGGAAATCATTTTTTGGTCTGTCTAGTTTTTTGCGTCACTTTTCAGCCAATGTCTGGTGTGGGGTGCTCTTGTTGAGCACGATGAATAAGGAGGTCTGTCTGAAGTAATGTTTTTAATGCATTTTAAGGACAGACACAGAGAGAACACTTACTGATGGTTTATGCACTAAGCACAGACAACAGCGACGTGTCTCTCTGTGTTGTTCCTTAGTTTGTACAACACTCTTAGGTGTACTGACTCAACAGTGTCATCTATTAGTAACAGGAATGTTCCTGGAAGTAGAAGGCTCTCGCTCCCTTGAGAGGCCAAAGTAGTACTGAGATCCCTTTGGGCTGTATTCAGCGGGCGGTGTTGGGTCACCTGCTATGCGACAGCAAGTCCAAAAAAAAACCATGAGGAGGTTGGTCAGGGGAGACCTTATTCTTGAAATTGTCCATCTTTCTCCAGATGTAAGTGTGGTCATCTGTTATGGTTTGTGTGGGCGTGGCTTCTGATAAGTTGTGGTCTTCTCTCTAGGGTTTGGAAGGTTCCGGAAAAAAAAAATCTCATAAACATTGATTCTGAGAATTCTATTTGATTAGGCTGGTGTAAGTGGGGGCTTTGTGAAGCACTTTGACTGATGGTGAGCGTGAAGTAGCAGCAGGGAGTGTTGAGAGCGGTCTGTGCACCATCATTGAGTGCAGAATGAGAGGTGTCACGCTGCACCACACTTAGGAAAGCCTTTTAAATCATTTAATGCATTTTTCTCTGGTCCTGCACCCCAAAGAGATCTGTATAAAACAGGATGTTTTAGTGATAAATGTTCTTGGAGCAAGAGAGTAAGTGTAATAGTATTGGCAGAGTTTTCTCATTCGTGGTTCCATCTGATTTGTTGCTGGATGGATGGATGGAAAAATTCAGCTGTAGATACATGGCTGCTGTCTGCCTGAGGCCTGCAATGGTTCGAGTACAAAGAACGAGGTCTAACGAAAATATGACACAGATTGTTAAACGAGTCATAGCCATTCTGGGAAAGCACTGGTTTTGGACGATTTGTGAAATATTATGGCTTACTGTCCTTCCCATCATGCAAGTGTAATTAACAGTGAGCTTGTGGGGGGGATCTTGTTTGTTTTGCAAGTTGAAAGGCTTTGTATTATTTCTGCACCTGGTTTGTTTTGTAGGTTATATATTTTTATATTGACTTCCTGTTTGTTTTATATATGTGTATTATATACCAACCCCTGTTTTGTTTTGTAGATTGAAAAATTATTATATCAGCATCTGGTTTGTTTTGAGAGTTAAAGGTTGTGTGTATCATTATGTTAGGGTCTGGTTTGTTTTGTGGGCAGAAAGGTTATGTATTATTGAATCAGCATCTGGTTTGTTTTGACAATTGAAAGGTTGTGAGTATTATTATATTGCCAACTGGTTTGTTTTGACAATTGAAAGGTTGTGAGTATTATTATATTGCCATCTGGTTTGTTTTGACAATTGAAAGGTTGTGAGTATTATTATATTGCCATCTGGTTTGTTTTGACAATTGAAAGGTTGTGAGTATTATTATATTGCCATCTGGTTTGTTTTGACAATTGAAAGGTTGTGAGTATTATTATATTGCCAGCTGGTTTGTTTTGTGGGTTGACAGTGGCTAACAGGTGTGAATCAACAGGAAACAACAACGAACAGGGATCTCAAGCATGATACTCCTCAGATAGTAAATGACTGACCAAGGCAGAACAAAAACAAGCTCAGGCATTGTCCTGTTTTCTCCGTAAGGCTGATTCATTCTTCTGCTTTTGCCACGACCTGCACAAGTGGCCTACGCCGTTACAAGCATTTATTCTTGTGCACTGCTGTGTCTGTGTCGTTCTGCAATTACCAATCACACCGGCAAAACACTAGTTGGCTGAACACGTGAGGTTTAAGTTTTGTATATATATATGTTTAAAAATCAAGGTTGACCACCACTGCTCTTTCATGAGCTCTGCATGCCCTCATCTGTGCTGTTCAAATCACTCAGTATGAGAAATTTTTTAACTCCTTTTTTGCTTTATCAGTATTGCGATGTTTATTGCAAAAAAAAAGACACTCTGATATCTGAAATGTTCCAGTATTGTGCAACCAATATGAACAGCTGACAAAAACAGCTGGCTAACAACTAGCCAAACACTATCTGTCCCACACTAAAATCACCCTAGCTGGAAACAAATAAAACATCTATACAGAAGGAAGTGTGATGCTACGCAGCGGACCAATCACAGTTGTTGCGGTCTGCGTGGCCACGAATAGTAGTTACATTCCTGGGGAGGCCTCAGCGTAGGGTACGCAGCTACATATGGTGTAGATTCTACATACGGTGTAGATTCTACATAGAAGTATAAAGCAGGCTTTAGATCCCCACAATTACCTCAAAAAGTGGCTTGGCTGTAGGGATGGAGGCTGTGCAGACTCCCGTAGAGAGAAGGATATTAAAGGATGTGTTTTTATAGACATCATCCTCAAACGTGTCAGTTTCTGCAGTGTGAGCACTGTCAGTCGATTTAAAAAGCGCCTTATGCTTATGAAACTTCTTATTAAATTATTTGTGGAACTTTTAATATTAGATGATAATGGTTCTGTACAGGAGCTGGCGGATTGGATCTTTTCACTCATTTGGATGTGAAATAACAGCTCTATGGGATTTTAGTGGAGTGGCCAGCAGACCTGAAGTGAACATTCGTGTTGCTCTTAGTGAGTGGCAGCCATATATTTTCTTTTGACTGCATCTATTGGCTAATGGCATGAACAAAGGCCTAATGGTTCCTTCTAACTTTCTGGATAATTCTGAGCAGGATTCACTGTGGCCACTACAGGCTTCCTTTGTTTGGACATCGCTGCTCTCACTTTGTGTCAGTTAAATCCCAGCAGCTTGGAAATGGCCGTACCCCTTTTCAGACTGATAGGTGTCGACACGGCTTGTCCGGCAGTCCTCAGACATTTCTGCTGACCTCGGTGCCAATATAAAAGTCCATATCCCATTTATCCATTCATTTAATCGTTTTAGCTTATTATTTTGCTGAATCATCTTATCATCTTGCTTTTGTAATTTTAGTCATTTGCATTTATTTTTTCTGAAAAGACGATTGTTCGGTTAATTGACAAAGGTCGCCTTGCTGTAGTACTATTGGTTGTTTTTATAGTCCGAAGTGTAGGTAATGGGGACTGTGCATTGAAGAACACACGCGGTACAAACATCTGGGTCCCTTTGTGTCACCTTACACAACTGAGTACATCTCAGTTTCCTACCAAAAAAAAAAACAATCACTGTCTTCCCAGTGTATTTTTACATATGTTTTGATCAGTTCTTTGCATATCCACTCGCCATTGTCAATCACAGAGATTTCCCTTTTTGCCTTTTGGTTTTGTTTTTGTGTGTCACATGACAGTTTATGGCAACTTTGATTGGACGAGTTGGACACACCTACATTCCTCCCATTAATCTTCATTGGTGAATATTCTTATTTATTGCGTTAATGTTCTCATTCTCTAAAAATAGCATTGATTTGTTGTCGTGCTGTAATCCATGCACGAGAACGATATATTCTTAGCATTTACTCCATTAGGACTGCGAAATGATTTACAGAAGAATGAAAATGAGCTGGCCTGGGTATATAATGCATTGAGCAGTGGTTGATAGGTTCGGTAACCTTGATATGTAGCAGAAAAGATCCCGCTGCTACTCCTTTTGGGTAACCTGATTTCCTTCAGTAAAAATATCCACCTTTTTAATACTAAATACTATCTGAACAAAGGGATAGACACTGAAAGTGACACAGCATCTACCAGCTCTGCCAGACGCATTGGATATATTAGGTGGTGCCTAGGTCTGCAGGTTAGGATGCTGTGCCCGTGATCGGAAGGTTACTGGATTTAATCCTGGGGTCAGCAGGTTAGGACGCTTTGCCCGTGATCGGAAGGTTGCTGGTTTTAATCCTAGGGTCAGCAGGTTAGGATGATCTGCCTGTGATTGGAAGGTTGCTAGTTTTAATCCCAGGGTCAGCAGGTTTGGACACTTTGCCCGTGATCAGAAGGTTGCTGGTTTTAATCCCAAGGTCAGCAGGTTAGGATGCTCTGCCTGTGATCGGAAGGTTACTGGTTTTAATCCCGGGGTCAGCAGGTTAGGACGCTTTGCCCGTGATCGGAAGGTTGCTGGTTTTAATCCCAGGGTCAGCAGGTTAGGACGCTGTGCCTGTGATCGGAAGGTTGCCAGATTTAATCCCAGGGTCAGCAGAGTGACGACACCATTGGGTCCTTAAACAAGACCCTTAACCCCTTGTTGCTCCCGGGACAGTCTGACCCTGCTTTCTCAACTCGATGTTACCTTGGATAAACATGTCTGCTAAGTAAATGTAACTATTTCCTTATGCTCTATTTGAACATGGAGCACCAGTAATGAGAATGACACAAATACAAACTTGATCACTTTTATGTTTTTAAATGAATGAGGTTTAGCTAGCTGATGGAGTGGGCTGTCGGTAATAATCTCTATAAAGCTGTAAAATAGATGTCTTGTACATTCGTGACGTACCCTGCGTTTATCGTTTCGAACAAAAGCGTGTTGGTTTTCGTTTCTGACTGACAGCGTGCCAGTCCTGCTTCAGGTGGCGTGGTGAACAGAGGCGCAGGACAAAAGGGGGGGAGGAAGGAACAGGGACTGTACGTTATGTATTTTGGGACGGGGATGGGGGCGGAGTACGAGAAGCAGCAGCGATGAACAGAATGAAAACAGACACGGGGGATGACAGGTACACAAAACGAAAAGTGCTGCTGGGTCATGGGAGGACTGGATTGAGCAGAAGGTTCTAGGTGAGCTTTCTCAGCATGAGAGGAAAGAAAA